GAAAGGGCACATCCGTAAGCGTGACTTTTTCGCCACATATTTTTGACACTTCATCAAGGAATGCCTGAATTCAAAAACCTTCTAGTTCAGTGCTGCGAATAGCGAGAGCGTATGAACTGCGATGAATTAGTTTTCTGCCTCAAATTGCAATACCAGTTCAAGTATCATCGTGTAATGCCCACAGTCACGTCTTGATTTCAATTAAGGGTGTTCTTTTTCAATTTCCTTGAGCTAAATTGTAATGTCTAAAATCGCTCAACCTGCGCCTTTTGTTCGGTTTCAGTGAATTCCTTGGATTTGCGAAGAACATCGTTGATGAGATAACGACGTCGAGCGCATTCTGAGTCAAGACTCAGAAGCTGAAAAATACGGCAACAATTGCGATCAGATCGAAACTGAACTTCAATAGAACTTGAAGATTGCTCTTCTAAACTAATCACTTTGATCCACTTGAACTATCAACTGAATGATTTCCCAAAACAGTGACACCAAAGTTTCTATTCTGAATGCGTGATGACTCTATCCATCGGATTTTGTTTAAGTCATCGTTACAAATGCTACAGCTTGAAAACTGCTTGAAATTTCATCAGATAGTAACGATGTTGCTTAGCGTTCATGTTGAATGAGTAATGTGCATCGGATATCCAAAACAACCCGTTTGAGCATTTAACCATGGAAAGTTGGCCAGTTCTTTTAGTTATGACAATTTCAGTGGATTTCAGTGCTTCATTAGATTTTGAGAGCACTTCATTAGGTGCTGTTGATCTTACATGATCAGTTTGTTGTTCAATCATATGCACAGGAATCGGCAAGTATCCTTTCGGCCAATCCTTTTTATTCGGATAGTCCAAACCAGCCACCAAATTGCTGTCGTCATAAAACATTCCTAGCGCGTTTGATGTGGCGCTTGTGATTGTTCGATTCAGGTCAACCGTTCTGATGTGTAACTGAAAATGTCTCGTTTGAAACGGCTCTGATTCGGTTCGTTGTGCTCAATTTCGTCGACTTAGAATGGATCTCGTATTTATGCGATCAGTTCTCTTGTTTAAGAATGTAATGTGATTTTTATTTTAGAACAGATTTTTTTTGCTTCATATTCACCGCTTTCCTTATTTCGAGTAGTTGCTGATGCGACTTCCAAAATTGCTTGCATTCTGGTGATCTTCATCGATTGTTTGTTCTTCAAAAATAATTTCTTCATATCCATCGACAAAATTCGGCAAAAATTGTCTGTTTAGGAGATTTGAATCTAAAATATAATGTGATTAACTCTTACCTCGGATGATAAATATGTGGTATTAAGGAGTTTCGCTTCAATTGCATACTTTTCGAACAGAAGGGCACCTAGCGCTTGGTGTTGTTGCATTCCTGTCTGAAATTCAAGCTCAAGCGAATTTCCTCCAATAAATTTCATTCCATGTAAGAATTAATCGTGAAATTTGAAGGAATTTTCACACTGATCGATTCGCTTATCAATCGATCGCAAATGATTACTGCCAAGTGTCAGATCGCTATTGATCAAAAGAGCTCGACTTACGACAGTCAGCTGTCCCCACTGTTGTCCGGGCCAGTGGTTTGCGTCGTTCTTGCAAATCCTCGCTGGAACGTGATCCCCATCACGCCATATCTGAATGTAAGAAACTTTTTTGTAAGGGAATATACTCCCTGGATGATTAGGCTATTTCAAAACCATATTCTTATAATTAATTTCGAAGTGTTCAATTGATTAACATTATTCAGCGTTTGTTCATCACATTTCAAGGAACCGACCTTGTTGCAGTGCAACACCAGCATGATCTGTTAAAAGCGCTCTCCGAACCCACAATAGACTCGTTCCGGAGAGACCCAACAAATTTTTAATAACTGTCACTGTAAGTACGAATCTGTTTCCATAGGAATAAGAAAATACAACGAACTGTTTAGTGGAAATTGGGAAATACAACGAACCACTTGAACGAGATGTAGTTGATCTTGATTGGCTGGAGCTTGATCAGATGTTTGACATAGCAAGAGAATGTTAAAGACAATGCAGATACTTCTGAACGATACGCCACGATGAATTCGTTCATGATGTGGTTGAAACTGGTAAAGATACAACCAAAACATCACGAGCCACTTTTTGCGCTGAAGAGAAGCCACGAAGAGAAGTGAGCCGAGTGAATCTTAAAAGGCAGTGAGGAGTTAATCGAAGAGGAGATAACCTCTGAAATTTACGCAAATATTCATCAAAAAACAAATTGTT